GAAGAACGTCACACACTGCACATTTTAGCTTGATTAACAGTCTCCACACGCACTTGTCAAGTACAATAAAAACACACAAAGAATACACGCAACACGACAAGCAAACAACTTCGACTAGAAGCGTCCGCCAAACCTTCAATGTCCCCGTAGTGGGAGATGGCATGGATGAGGAGGAAGCTGCTGTCCCCGGTATGCTCTCTGACTGTAAAACTGCAGGTATCTCCTGCAGGCTTGGCTTTTGATTCTGTTCGTTTTGATAATCTCCCGATGCGAGTGGCAAATTTTTAGAATGTATGGGATGGATGCCCTCTATCTTACTCCCACCAGACATTTCTACCCCCTCAGCGCAAGTCACATCCGGTGTACTGTCTAGGTTGTCTTTGTCACTGTCAACTGTTAGAAACGTTTTATCCTTTGTCGTCCGCGTTTTCGCAAGTTTCATTTGGAAAATCCGTTCGGCATCTCGATATTCAGATTTTCCGATAGGTAGGCTTGTGTCTATCGATAACAATTCGGCCATCGTTTTCTTGTGCGTTGGAACTTGTCTTTTGAGTGCTTCACTTTTAAAGATGTTTTCAGCAATTACTTCAGTCGGAATGTCCATGGTACCCGCAGGCAAAAGAGGCTCATGTTCAGCAGACAGCTTGACGCTGGTGAGTATTGGAGCCGTTTCTACGGTCGAGGGCAATGTTATCGGTAAAGTCGCCCCACTCATGTCCTTTACAAAGGCAATACTACCTGTAGAGGATTCAGGACAAATAGTGTTTTCCTTAGTGGCAGCTTTGCAAGGAACAATAGAAACTTCACCCGTGAGAGGGTCTAAATCGATAATTTTTCGTGGATGTTTAGACCTTGTTTTAACTGATCCAAAGATACCAACAGTAGGAACTTCTTGTGGGACATCGTCAGACAGCTTTTTAGTTTTTTTGGTATCGCGTCGGCGCATTGGCGATGGGCAACGGGCGGCAGATCCTGGTTTTTCAAACCGAATTTCAACATTTTTAGCAGTTAATGTAGTTGGATCATTTCCCAGCACACAATTACTGTCAGGCACAACTGTACCATCAGAAGAATCCCCAGAAGTTGACGGAAGCCCAATTTCGACAGTGTCAGGTGATTTCTTAAGTTCAACACGTATTCTTTGTTCCATTTTCTTTGGTTCCGAAGCCACATGTGTGGATGGAGCACCTAAATTATCGGGTTCTTCGTCGTCATCCAATGCAATTGGTTCATCAAGAGCTGTTAGCCAGTCATCCGAAGTAGTTGGAAGCTTCATTT